TTCCTTCCTTCCTTCCTTCCTTCCTTCCTTCCTTCCTTCCTTCCTTCCTTCCTTCCTTCCTTCCTTCCTTCCTTCCTTCCTTCCTTCCTTCCCTTATTTCCCAAGGCTAGCTGCATATCCAGCACATGCAATCATTGCCATAATCATGACATTTCCTGCTTTGCTCTCCTCTTCCTGAGCTTTACATGGCATTACATGGCATCAAACATCCTTTTGGTCAGCCAGGGTCTGCTTTCCTGCCTGTTTCTCCCAGTCCCTTGCAGACACTTACGGTTCTGTGACGTTCTCCTTTGGCATTTAAATAAGCTTTGATTGCAGCCAAGCCTGCGTACTCCCCCTGGGCTCCGCTGCAAGAAGAACACCAACGTTGTTAGACAGCACACAAACCAAAAAGTGCCACCTCTCTGCCATAACTGCAAAACTGTCAGCCCTGACCCTTATCAATTACTTCAGCCAAGAGCCAGAAGCACATCCCACAGATTAAATTACAAATGGAAATGCTTAAATTAACAGCTAGATGTAAATGAAAAGGTAGATGACAGAGGTTATGCCATTCTATGTGCTTACATTACACTGTTAAAACCTTCTGGTGAATGAATTGACCCACATTTCTGCACTAGGAGGGGACTATGTGCTTGATTACAGAGATGCAAACGAATACTGAAATGCAGAACAAAGTRTATGCAATGAAACGTAAAAAGTCTTTGAGCAGCAGCCTAAGTGTAGAGTGAGTTCTTGCTGTTCATTTTGTATCAAAACTGGTAAAGGATGTAAACAGGCTGCAGCAGCACTCATTAAATGCTGCTTTATTAATTTCAGTGAGCATGCAACTCTTAGGCATTCTTCAGTCAAATCTGCTGTACTAACTACCAATTTCAACAATTAAACACTTGGCAGCTCATGCAGCTTATTTTTATTCCTTATTTTTAGTTCATTGGGGAATACCAATAATGCCATTTCACACCAACAATGGCAAAGAAACCTTCATAGAAAGGAAAGCATAGAAAGAAATATTAAAAAAATTGAAAAGACCAATCATTAAACTTTTAGAAGAGTTGAGACAAAATAAGATACTGTAGCAAAAAAGAAAAAAAAAAAAAAAAAAAAAATAAATAATAATTAAGGGACTTCCTCAATGGTGGCCTTGGTGGCATCTTGGTGGTCCCAGAGGAGCTGCTGAGCTTCAAACCAAAGCTGGAATTTCGTATTTTGCAAAAAAAAAACCCAACAACTGATGGGTCCAAATAACAGATTCTTGAGGATTTTTGGGAAAATCAGCTCCTGCTTTTCTCCCTCATCCATAATCACCTTGCAGAGGTCAAGTGGGGCACTGAAATTCCTCTGTCCTGGGAATGCTGGGGTGGGATCTCCATCCCAGAGCCTGTCCCAGCCCTTCTCCTGCTCCCAGTTATTCCCCAGCATTGGCAAAATTTCCTGTGCGATTTAAAAAATCTTTTGGAACGAGCTGCCCTTTTCYGTAATGAACTGCGAGCGCTCCCAARATTGATAAACACAATTTCATCCTGACTCCCCACTGGAAACAGTCCCTGAAGGAATTTGGCACCTTGGCCACGGCAAATCCGGTGCTTTTAGAGATATTTYCAAGCTGTGACGAAGATTTAAGGCTCTAATGCAGTGTGTACTGAAAGTTATTAATTTTTAGGTGGTTTTGGCTCCTTTAAATGTCACTTGTCACTTATTTTAAAGCTGTAGGAAGGGAAGAGGGGGGTTGGAGGGGCTGTGAGTCCATCAAACTGAAGTTTGCTTTAAATTAAGAAAAATAAATTACATTATTTATAATATATACTATATATAATATTTATATTCTATTCTATTTATTCTATATATTATATTACATTACACTATATTATATTACACTATATTATCTCATATCATATCATGTCATATCATGTCATATCATATCATATCATATCATATCATATCATATCATATCATATCATATCATATCATATCATATATCATATCACATTATATTATATTGCATTGTATTATATTATATTATATATTACATTATATCATATCATATATATTATATTACATTCTACATATATAAGATGTAATTATTAGGATAATTAGGTATAATTAGGAAATAGGTAATAATGAGGTTATTAGGTAATAAGGTATAATTATACATATAATGTATGTATGTATATACATATACATATAATAATATTTAATGTTATAAATATTATTTAATTACCTAAATATTATTTATTTATAATAAATGCTGATATTAATGCCTTCCTCATAAGGGTGCAGAAAATATCTAGAAGGGTGTATAAAGCAAATAAAAAGGTGTATCAAATATCTAAAAGGGTTATTGGGATCTTTCCAAAG